GCGATCATAAGCTTGAAGGAGGATGAGAGTTCCTATCGTGTAGTATTCAATTCTTTCGGTTGGGAGAAAATTGTAGACTGCAGGACGCAGTATGCACTTGGTCAGATCGTCAAAGAGTATCCAAAGACCCGCGAGATCACCGTCAATATCAGATCCGCGGAAGTCGAGAGGGAGGAACAACAGACGCATAAATATACCTATGTTCATAGTTACGATCTATCATCTTGTACATTAAGCGAGGACATTAATGCCTACGATCTCAACAAATGTGTCGTGCTGCCGGCCGATTTTCGTCGCTCCACTCCGATAATGAACTCTGCGAATTCTGATCTACTTCACACACATCATGCGACGAGCATCACCTTAACAAATATCGATTTTGACAAGCACGAATGTATGCCGTATATTTGCGTTCTATTGCGGCATATTAGAAAGGTATTCGGTTCGACTAATACAAAAATACCCGAGTGGCTTAGATATTTCCTCATCACCATGCAGCGCAATCATCTTCATGCTAATATTCAGCTGTTCATGCTAAAAATTATTTCAAACACGGCAGACGAGGTGTTCAAGCCCTACGCCCAGTTCGCGCTGACAGAAATCATCAAGATTATCGCTAACTATTTGCAAGGAAACAACAATTTGAATTACATTATCACGGACGTTTTGGAGATACTGATGAATTGGCACGATGTAGCTATACCAAATAACGAAGATAGTAAAGCAGAGGCACAAAGACTTTTTGAGATATTTATTGACAAAGTATTCAAAAGAAAATCTGACGATGAAGACCGTGTCTACAACTACAATCTCAATTTGTTAAGGACCATGGTGGAAAAGTGGCGCGGTTGCTTGCGAATACCGAGCGATTTTCTAAACCGACAAATAACATCCGCGCCGTCGGCTGCGGTGTATCTTATCCTGGTATCTCTCAACAATAATATGACGGAGGAGATTGTTATTAGAGATGATATTGTCAATTTTCTACTGGAGCAGTTGAAAAATTGGGATACACCTGATTCGGATAAGACGCCTCTGTACTGCTGTGAGTGTCTTGGCTTATACCTACGTTTTCTAGATAACAACAGTCGCGATGAGATTGAAAGAGATAACAAGAAACACTTGGTGAAGGAGAAAATTTCCAACATCCTCAGGTTACCCCAGAATCGCATAGACAAACAAGTGAAACGCGTCGCTGTTCTCTGCCAAACTTATCCCGAGGTAGCCCAGGATTATATCAATATCGCGACCAGAGCCATGTATACGACAAAATATTCGACGAAATGTTTAGAAATATTTGCGTTAGCGATACCCAGGCTCAACGTGGAGGACGTCATGACAAATCTGTACTACATAAGGCTGCAGAAGATCTTAGAGACTCGGATGTCGTCCTGCGAGAAGATAGCATTGCGAATCGTCCGCGACGTGGTGGAGATCTTGCCGATGCAAAATCTGCTGCCTTATAAACAGGTGATCTTATACATCAAGGACAATATCACGGAACACCGGGAACTGGTCTACGACATACTCATGAGGATCCATAAGAGATGTTCAGCGGACATCACAGTGAATGACAATGCAATCGTACAAGATCTACTGTCCGTTAGTAAGCGAAATTTATTGGCCGGTCTGTTGGACCCGTCTCCCGATCTGCAGGACAGAATACTGAAGTTCTGGATAGAGGAGATGAAGCTGGACACAGAGGAATTGAAGAAACGATTAGTCTCGCCTTTGACCATTCTTTCGTCGCAACTGATAACGGAAGAGGACGCATTCGCACCTTTCGTAGCGTTGCTGATGTTGCAACAGGCCACTAAATCAATACGTTACACCGAGAAGATATTCGATGAGCCTCTGTCTAACAGCAGCCGCTTCGAGGAATATAAGATAGCCGTTTCCTGGCGAAGGCGGAACCTGAGCTACGTAACGCCAATGTTCGTCGACTCACTCGCATCCCAAATGAGCTACAGCATCTTCTCTCAGAGTGTCGATAACGATTTAAGCGGGATCTGTATGACTCCTACATTCTCTTATCCACGTCTCTTGCCAGGTTTACGCGCAACGCAGGATCTGCAATTCGAGCCGACTCTTGATGACGACGATAACGCCGCGGATGCAACCACAACGCTTGATATATCGCACGACACTGGATTTGATCGAACGATAATCGCGTCCTCGTCGAAACAACCGCTATGGACTGCAGGACGTCAGAGATTCACCAGGATTCTGGCGAATACGTCAAATACCACGAACAACTTCCGTAACGCGCAAATACGAAGAAATGCGCAACAAGAAGAAAGAATACAGCAGGAGAACATCAGACAAAGAAGCACCGTAAAATTGTATAGGTAAGATTATTTGACTTGACACCTTTTTTAAATCAATTCCGAATAATTACAATATACTAATGTTTTTTTTTCTACTTTTATCCAGAAACTATAGGATCGGAGAATTACCCGACATCGAGATAACTCACAAGAGTTTTATCGTATTGCTTCAACAGTTGGTCAAATTGGATCGGCTGATCTGCAAAGATGTGATCGTGTCCCTGTTCTGTTCACTGACCAAGAAAACGACTAATCAAGAAAATATCCGTCAGACCATCGTGGACAGTCTGAAACGAATTCTACATGATTTGTGCGAAAAGGACAGTTCTTTCAACGCTGTTATTTTAGAAACGTTACTAAAGTTGAGTCAAGACGCTGCTACAATCATCAACTGCGATCCGCAAGACGTGATGAAAGCATCTAAGGCAAATCATTTGAACGCTATCGGCATTCTTCTTTTGGAACATAATTTACTGCCTGATGCGCAGGAGGATGACTCGTCGCCCACATCAAGCAAGAGAATGCGACTACACGACGATGCAATTCGCTACGAGGAGACTAATAAGTGGATGCAATTAGCATCTCTCTATAAATCTCTGAATGATGTTGATGTCGTTTTAAGTATCTTCCGAAGACAACAATTTTTCGGTCAGAACGTGCAGGTAATTTTTATGGCAGTAGATCGACGTAAATAGTTTTTATCGAATTAATTTGGATATAACGAGATCAAAATAGTTTCTTTTATTCATAAGAAAAATTATTGGCTTTTATTTTTATACGTTCTTTCCATTTAAAGAATAGTTTTTCTATCCTTCTTTTTAAAAAGTCAGATATATAATTTCTGTCGAAACATGAACTTGTTTAATAAAATAGGATTTATTGGCAGTAAAAATCATGTTATTCAGATTATATAAAGATTATATAAAGATGTTATTCATCATTCTTTGTTTAGGAAGCAGCTCTCGCGGAGGTGAACGGCGATTGGATTCGAGCGAAAGATGCGTTTACGAAAGCTTATGAAGGAACAACAGATCCTTCAATAAAGGAACACTGCCTGCAAGGATTACTTGAGGCAGTGAATAATCTCTGTGACTGGTCAGCGATCGACAAACTTGTGAAGAACCGTGCGAGAAATGAGAACTTACGCAATATCTGGAACGATGCATGGAAAGACTGGATGATCCCATGTGCTTGCGATGCCTATGTACATATGATGTCGGAAGAGAGAGATTTGGTGGTGAGCGATATGGAGACTATCAAATCGTGGATATATACTCGAGAAAAATTGCAACATCTTATGCCCTTGACGGGCGAAAATCTAGTGATATTTTTGCTCAATTTTGAGGATATGAGAAAGGCAACCGATCTGTTAAATGATCTCTTGGATATGACAGGAAAGCAATGGGTTGGACTTAATCCCCTTTGTACCGAGCTGCGAATACGCAAATTATTCAAGCTCCAAATCATGAACGATCTCGACGCTTCGCTCAAAATTCTTCGATGCACGAACAGAGCAGAGTACTTGAACAGAACGATCGCGCTGTTGAATTTATGGTCGATGAAAACGACCACAATTCGAGACAATCTTATTCAGTGGAACAAATTAGCTGCTAATCGAGCATATTCCTCGATGTTGTTCCAAAACAAATGTAGAAAACGGGAAGTGACAAAGCGGTGTTATCAAATGAACCATCAGCTCCGATTAGGCATCATCAACGCAGCGTTGAATCAAAAACATCGATATATCGCCGAGAAACATCTGAATTATATAAGTGAAGCATTTTCTGAGGAGAACGTTAGTCACTTGGATATGGGTAATAACTTAATATGGCTTAAAGCTAGACTCGAGTCTCTATTCGCCGACGTTGAGACCAACATTTTAAAGAAAATGTCCAATTACACTGATTCCTGGAAAAACTCGCATAGATTATTGAACGGCGAGCTCGGTGCTGATATAAGTAATGCCATCAAAGAACATATCAGCACAATGGCTTCGAAGATCGAATTCTTGAGCAGGGAGAACCAGGAGTTTTCGATAGCATTGGAGTACAATACCAAGATCCTGCGGGACATAGGAAACATAGGACATAAAGAAGAAATAGCAACGGTACCAGGAATACCAGTGGATCTGGATAAAATCCGAAAATATTTGCTGGGTTACAGTTTGAAGAAGCTACAATCTTGCTGCGAGGACACGACCACCGCCAACGTTGGCAAGCACTATTGCGCCCTGGCTAAACACTGTTACGGTAGACTAATGAGTACTGACATAGAAAGCGACGAGATCTTCCAAGAATTTCTGTTGTCCACTTTGAAATCCATGTATCATGATTGTCTCGAAGCTACGCATTACTTCCCTTGCTTGCTGAGACCTGAACGATTACAGAACGATGAGATACGAGAAATGTTCGTCCGAGAATGTGACGAATTGCGACCATGGTTGTTTTTACGCTGGCGGGACTTGCTCTTTTCCCATCTGGGAACACCGTCGATCTCAACCGCGATTATGCCGATCATCAAGAGACTCGCCAAGGCTTATCCCGATGCGATTATCTATAATTATTACCTTACTATCGAGAAAAACCCCAGTATTCTTGAGGATGTGAACATTCGACAGATACGCTTGCTCTTACACGACAAAGCGAAAGAGTACGAGCGGTTCTTGCAAGCGATACAATACGTGGTGCAACCTCAACTATATTTGAAACACTACCTTGACAAGGTGATGAATACAGGGAATATAACGACCATCGAATCGCTGTTACAAAAAGTCTATCCGAATTCCAGCACAAACGCGATAGAAGAAAAAAACCTGCGACCAGGCGCTATTTTTAAAGAAATTGCAAAATACGAGAGCGTCATAAGATCCTTGAATCCAGATGATCTTGATATGCGAAAAGGAATGACAAAACTGAAGGGCATTCAATTAAAATTGATCGAGTCAATCCAGAGGCAGAACAATAAAAACAATAGGAGGGAAACTACAAGCAAGCTGAAGAATTACAGCCTGTTTTTGTATGAATACGTCGGTGGCAGTATTGAGATACCAGGACAATATACCGGTGATAGGGAACCCATACCGCGTTACCACGTGAAGATTGCGCGGTTCGAGCCGCAGGTGAAGATCATGCAATCGCTGCGCAAGCCGATTCGCATCAACATAATAGGCGACAATGGCAAGGAGTACAAGTTTCTAGTGAAATTTGGCGAAGATCTAACGATAGATCGGGGCTTACAGCAACTGTATTCCACTATGAACAGAACGTTGCGCAACGATCCCAGCTGCAGACAGAGGCACTTAGCCATCGACACGTACGAGGTAATACATGTTTATCCTCCAACTTAGGTACTGTCTATATGTCTTTGCTATTGTAAATTTTTCTTTTGCAGGTGATTCCAATATCGAGCTCGTACGGTCTCATACAATGGATTGAAGATACAAGATCTCTGAATGAATTGATATGCTTAACTCTGTCAGATAAGGAGACAAATTGTTGCCAGAATATTGTTAAGAAATATGCGGAGTGGATACAGAAAGCGGCGCCCGAAAAACGGCTGATCCGCGATTTTTATATAGAAGCTGTATCTAAGTACAGCCAGCAAGCGGTCACAGAGAACATGAATCACCTGATTAGAGAGACGAAGCAAACAGCTCTACGTGATGCGTTTAATTTGATCAGCCCGTCCCCTGAGTGCTTCGTTACGCTGCGACGCAACTTCATCATCAGTTACGCGACCATGTGTGTGGCGCATTGGCTCGCAGGAATCGGTGATCGTCATCTACAGAACACTCTGGTGCACGTCGCGACCGGACGTTGCTTAGGCATCGATTTTGGTCACGCTTTCGGCAGTGGTATAGGCGCATCGGTACCGGAACTCGTACCGTTCCGTCTGACACCGCAAATTCTTGAGCTGCTACGACCCTTCACAGAGCGGGACCTCCTAGCGACGATCATGACTCATACAATGCAGGCCTTGCGCGATGACCAAGGTCCGATCCTCGCTTGCATGGACATCTTCGTTTGCAAACCCGTTCAGTGGTTGAACATCAATGACGACGAGATAATGAGAAATGACGATGAAAATATTAACGCAGGTATAAAAGAATATACAAATTGTGATGTGAGAAGGTTATGTAAATTTTATAAAATGATTAATTTGATAAATAAGACTTTGATAAATAATCGACTTTTGATGGCAAGAGTAAAATAATGTCATAAAAATTATAGGGCTATTCAGAAAAAATATTTTTTTTTAAATCATAAATATAAAGATATTTATAGGATGTATTATAATTGTGTGTGTGTGTGTGTGTGTGTGTGTGCGTGCGTGCGAAAAATAATAAGAATTAGATACACTATACAGTATTGTAAAAGAAATCCATCATTCTTGTCATCAAATGTATATAAGAGGAATAACACATTTTATGATTCGCAGATTTAACATGGTCCAAGAAAAATATTGAGATAGTTGCGAAAAAGTTAAATGGAATCCATCCTTCAATCATTACATTAGAGCAATTAAATGACACTCGAAAAAAAAGAGCAATTAACGATAGACACTTTGCGAAATATTATGCCATTGTCTCAGGCAATGATGAGATCAAACAAGCGCGAGCGGATATAAAGAGGGACCATTTGACTTCTATAGAACAAGTAATTTTATTATTAAAAATTCATTAGTGAATCTATTTTTATGGCTCACTATTAATGATCGATCATGTTTTAGGTGGATTGTTTATTGGATCAAGCAAAAGACTTGAATGTCTTGGGCCGTATGTATCAAAATTGGAGACCTTGGCTATAAGGCTGCGTAATATTTATAAAATATATGACTTATATTTGAAGTATTATTAATTTAAAAGTATAAAAATTTTTTAAATTAAATCTAGGAAGCTTAAACAAAATTTATTTATGCTAAAGAAAAAATTATTACAACATTAATTGGAGAAAAATTAAACTCTTATAATTATATATTAAAGATATGCATACATATATATATA